GCAGCCTGAACTTCTTTCATCACCATAGGCTCTTGCTCATATGTTGTTTTATGAAATTCTTCTGTGTCTTCCAACAGCAACCCTATAAAAAACAAACCTTTCAATATGACTTTCATAGCCACCATTTGACTTTGCCATGTAGATGGCAGGAATATACTAATCGGGCATATTTGCCCATTCACAAGAGGATTGGCTAGTATCACCATTAAACTGAGCAACCAAGCAGCAGGTGAGACCTTCCCCACCAGCAAAGAAGAGACTGCCAGGAAAAGGGTAAGCAAGAGGGCCTACAGGACCAACAACCCTAGCAGCCACCGTAGAGAACCACAGACCTGACATAAGACAGAAAACCCGGGACCTGACATGAAACAGAGAACCAGGACCTGACGTGAGACAGAGAAACAGGGATATGACATCATACAGGACCTTGAGACTGTTACATGATTGGAACTGGAGCAAAGACCCTTGGTCCAAGTTTGTTGGACAACTGTGGTCAGAGGAGGGTGGCAAAATTCAAGGACTGAGAAATGTGTAACACTGGCCTAAAGCCGTAAGGCTCATGGCTGAGGTCCCTATGAGCCGAATTTGGAAGCTGTTCTAACGGAATTTTGTTATTAATCTGGATAAAAACCTTTTAACTTCCCCAATATGGTTCTTTGTGGTCTATGAGCTGGACCTAGCAAAGCAGTGAGATTGGTGTTGAGATGAGTAAAAAGAGGTAAGGGAGCAAGAAGGACATGTCTGACCTCATAGAAATCAGTTTTGTGCCACTGATGCTGTTGATGGGGACAGTTCCCCTTTGCGAAGTTGGTAAGGGTCAGACATGGCCATCCCCACAAGGTTCTTGCTCTTTCTACACTGACCCACTTTACACCACAGCTGCAGTCACTTGCTCCAGCCATCTGGTTGGGGGTCTTCCGCTCCTTTCCTCCATCTTTCCAAGCATTATGTCCCTTTCCAAGGAATAGCCTCTTCTAGTGGTTTAAAATACTTTTGCAAACTAACTGAAATGTAAAATAATAAAAATTCATTCCAGATGAACAATGTAAACAGAGTGCTACCTAGGCAACTGTATAAAGACAGTTCTCTAAGAAGGCAGAATGAGAGGACTCAAAGGCAGTTAAATATGGTCAGGAGCAGAAAGTATTTTGGTAGGAAAATGCATGTGGAGTTCATCTATCCAAATACTCAAAGATGGGGAAAGAAAAAAAAAAGAACCTGATAGGGAAAAATGTAGATTTGGTACAAGGAAAATAATTTCCAAGATGAAGGTTATCAAGAAATCTTGTTTAATAGTCTTAAAAGAAACAGAACAGGGGAGCTCTGGTGGCCTAGTGGCAAGAAGCTACAACTACAATCCCAGAGGTGCGTGGTTCGAATCCACCAGATGCTCTGCCGGGGAAGGAGGGGCAATCTCCTCCTGTACCAGTCAGATCTGATTTGACGGTACACGCACACAAAAAATAAAATAAAAAAAAAAAATTAAAAAAAAAAAAGAAACAGAACAGATCCTTCTTTGTGTTACAACTAGGATTCTTCCTAAAGGATTGTTATGCTTGACCACTTTAGTTTTTGAGATTCCTTCATAGTATCTAGTTGTTTTTAAGTGCTACTGTCAGAACCAACTTATAATTGACACTCCAGTTGGTTTTCAGAGGCAATAAATCACATAGAAGGAGATACCCATTGTTCTCCCATGGAGTAGCTAATGGATTCAAACCATGTACCTTTGGTTTGACATTATAGTTCCTTTCCAATAAGCCATGAGAACTCCCTAACACCAATAAAATGAGTATTTTTCCCATATGGAAATATCTCAAGCTTTATTTTCTGCTGTTCGTTTCTGCAGGGTTTCCTGGAGGGTAAAAATTTCAAACAGCTGAGCCTGGGTTTTTCTCTGATAAATCAAAAGATTTTAAGGACCTTATAAATGGGAATCTACTCTATTTCAATAAATAAATAATAACCCACCATGACATTCATAAAAAGGACAGGACAATAAACATAAATTTCTCTACTGGACCATTCTGAGTGATTTTCTTCAGTAAAAACATCAAAACACTGACTTGTGTGTCTAATCAGGGTATTCTTGAAATAGGGGCTATAAGGAACCCCCAACAGCAGGTACTGGAAAAGCAGAAAAGGAATGACCAGAAGTTGCTAAAAGCCAATATATAGGAAGTGTATCAAATATATATAGAATCACTCTAAATTTGATGCTTGAAACTTTCTTTTTACAAGTTTAAAACATATATTTAAAATACAATTTATAACACTTAACTCAGGAGCCTGCAGTGTGCTCTATTCCCGCAGAACAGGACTGCTGGGTGTCGATCATATAAAAAACCCAAAAGACTGGGTATCATGTGACCAGAAAACAGGAGCCTAGAAGTTTCATGAGTGTCTGCTTACCAGAAAGACTGCATGCAGCCTCCACTAACCCATGCTTGAGCAGAGCATCCTGGATGAGGCCGAGCAGGGTTTAGCTGGATTACACATGGAAGACTATAACATTATCTTGCACACAGATTACAAACGTAAATCTAATACTCGGTGAATCCTCCAGAGTAAGATCTCCTGCCTTTTGGAGCAATGCAATTAAGAATTTCAAGATTTTTCACCTTCCAACCTTTAATATGTATAGAACACCCACACCTAGAAAGACCTAGAACTTGCTGATGAAAAATAGTTAAGCGTCAATTCAATTCTATTTATGAAACCTTTGCTGAGTTCCACTTCTCTGCCAAGTCTGATGCCTTCTGGGGACAAACAGCTATCTTCTCTTTTTTTCAGCCTAGCCGACAAAACAGGCTAAGCTCCCCAAAACAGTTACTTAAAATGAAAATGTTAATAATTGTTGTTGAGTACTGTCAAGCAGGAACTGACTCACAGCTGACCTTCCAGTGGGTTGTCAGAGGCAGTAAATCACATGGGAGGAGACTGTGCATTTTACTCCCATGGAGCAGCTGGTGGATTTGAGCTGTGTACCTTTGGGCTGGCAGCACATTTCCTTATCACCAAGCCACCAGAGCTCTCTGTAATGTTAATTATTATGCTACAAAACAAAATGTGTATGTGATCAAATGAAACAGCAATTACAGCAGCAACAACAAGCCTACAATGATAAACAAGTCAATGGAAACAAAGAAAGTTATCAAATTTTTACTTACATTTCCAGCCCAAACTTCAGGTGATCTCCCTGCTAGTTTATAGTAGACATATACGTGATCCCCTTTTTTAAAATTCACGAAACGACAATCTGGGCCCGTGAAATCTTCTAGTGCTTCACCTCGGTACATTAGCACTGTGTATAAAAAGAAGAGAGCAAATGAACTGAAAATCCAAATGAAAAGAAACCAAAACCAAACTAAACCATCAGAATTACCAAACCAAATATCAGGATTCTACTTTTACAATCTACAATGATTTAGCAGGAAATATAAAAATCCATGATAAACAATCACGTTTCTCCAGTACTTTCCGGAATCACTTTCAATTCATATTCTCAAAGCATCTAAACTACCTTAGCAATTTACTGTTATGGGTCTCCCTGAGTGGTATGGACAATTAACAATGCTACCAAAAAGCTAAGAGTTCTAATCTCCCCCTAAAATCACCTAGAGTGCCTCAGAAGAAACACCCAGCAAACAACTTCCCAAAATTTCAACCCTTAAAAATACTGTGGAGAACAGTTCCACTCTGACACAAATGGGGTTGCCATGAGTAGGAGTTATTGTTATGAATCACAAGATGCCCTAGAGAGAGAAAAAAGGAACAATATTCCTCTTTCCCCCTGGGGATTGCAAGAAACAGCAAGTAATGTATTCACCCCCACACATGATGTTCAGGTGAAAATCTTGATTTCTTGACTAACCCTCTAATCCTTGTTCTCTCCTGTTTCATAATCATAAAAAGTATCATTTTGCAAATGGGTAAACAGACACTGGTTGGCTAAAACATGGCTACAAGTAAAATAGAGAGCTAGGAAGTATATACCCTGGAATCCACAAGGGGCCAATTAAAGTGAACTACCCATTAAAAGGCACTCCTGTTAAGTGCCTGAAACTGCTACCAAGTAGCAGTGAGCACTACCAATTTTATTTGCAGCTGAACTGTCCTGTCCTAATGTATCTGACTAAATTAGACCAAATCACATTATCAAAGAAATTCAACATTAAGAAAATTTTTAAACAAAAGGAAGAAATACTTTTATTTTTCTATAAATAATTTTTTAAAAAATCACACAAAGAAGAAACCAGGCAAAACTGGGAGAATAAGCCAAAAGATCTTCAATCTTAAAAAATTTACATCACACTTGATTTAGAAGTGTGTTATAAACACACTCTGATAGAAGTCCTACTTTTCCTTTATTTTGGCCAAATACGTTTTCAGATGTAAAGTATATCCATGTTGTTGTTATGTACCATCACATCACCCTTGACTCACAGCAACACTATGTATAATAACTCTGAACACTGCCCTATCTTGATACGCTTATCCCCAGTACCCAGTTACTGTGTCAATCCATCTCTCCCAGGGTCTTCCTCTCTTGTGCTGCCACCATTCTAAGCTTGATGTCCTTCTCCAAGGACTAGTACCTCCTGTCCATGTGCCCATATGCAGATCATTTGGGAGGCTGCGCTTTACAAGAAGGAATGCAGCATCAGAATTGGTGGAACACTCATCAACAACCGGTGCTATGCACATGACACCACCTTGCTTGCTGAAGCATAGGAGGACCTGAACTGCCTGCTGCATAAAGTCAAGGACTATAGTCTTCAATATGGATTGAAGTTCAAAATCAAGATGACACTTGGCACACTGGCAGCATCACCATAGATGAAGAAGAGATTGAAGTTAACAGTTTCAGCTTCCTGGACTCCATAATCTACACTCTTGGCAACAGCAGCCAGGAAATCAAAAGACAAATACCCTGGGAAAACCTGTGGTCAGGGACCTCTCTGGAGCACTAAGAAGCAAAGATGCCAGTCTAGAGTATAAGGTGTGCTGATTCCGGCGATGGTCTTTGCAATTACTTGCTATGCCTCAGAGAGCGGGACAATGACAAGGATTGACAGAAGAATAATTGATGCCTTTGAGTTTTAGTGCTGGAGTATTGAACATACTGTGAACTTCCAAGAGAACAAACAGGTCTGTCTTGGGGAGAGCAAAACAACGTTCTCCTTGGAGGCTAGAATTTTGAAGCTGTCTCACCTACTTGTCTGTCCCATGTCCAGGAGGGACTAGTCCTTGGAAAAGGATATCATGCTCGGAAAGGTGGAGGGAAAGCACATAAGAGGAAGACCCTGGAGAGATGGATTGACACAGTGACTAGAGTAATGGGGTAGGTGTGTCGAAGACAGACTGGCTCAGGGTAGGGCAGGATTCAGGGTTGTTGTACAGGTCGCTGTCACAGGTGACTTGACAACACATAACAATATCAGCAATTAAACACATGAAAATGTATTTGTAACACATTCATGATAAAATTCTTTTCTGCTGTGATTTTCTGTTGATGATAATGATGCTATGCACTTTCAGTGGTAGAAGGCATGCTGAAATGAAGGGAAAATATTTTTTGTGTGTGGTGGGTTAAAAATGGCTATTTGTTGTTTGTTTCTGTCATCTTAACTGGAGATGAAGGGAAAATAGTTTTGAGCTAAGTGGGTTTGTATACATGTGGGATATACAGTCCCAAGTAGACGCTGATAGGAGGTTTGGTAGATTGAAGACCATTTCTTCAGATTTGAAAAGTTATACAGGTGGTAGTGTGCCATATCAGTGAGACAGAAGCTTCCTGAGAAGTACCATCTAGTCATCTACAACTCAAAGTGACACTCTAAACAACAGATCAGAGCCTTGCCCCATGGTGTGTGCCATTCTCACAATCTAGGATATGCTCCAGAGCCCACTGTTACAGCCACCAGGTCAATCCTTCTTTCTCTGACACTGCTCCTTTCCCAGCATCATGTATTTCTCCAAGGACTAGCCTCTGCAGATTACATGTCCAAAATGTTTACCACCTTTGCCTCTAAGGACAGCCCTAGTTGCACTTCGTAGACTCATGTGTTCTTTCTGCAGTCCATCGAATGCTCAATATTCTTTCCCAATACAAAAGCATCAATTCTTCTATCATGCTTATTCAACGGATCACAGGTATCCCTTATTCAAGCCTGTATACTTAGTCAGTGTATCCCTGGGATACACTGAATAAGTGGTTTGTTGTCAGGTGGCATTGAGTCAAGTATGATTCATAACAACATCATGAACAATCAACCTGAACCTTGTCCTATCCTGCACCATCCTCCTCATCTCTGACACACTTGAGCCCATTGCTGCAGTCACTGTGTCAATCCATCTGATGGGGGGCAGTCATCTTCCTCTTTCGCTGACCCTCCAACTTCTAAGCATGATGTCCCTTTCCAAAGGAATAGTCTGTCCTAACAACATGCACAAAGCTTGAGAGACTAAGATTTACGATCTGTGCCTCTAAGGAGCACTATAACGACATTTTTTCCAAGACATATCTGTTCTTTTGCCAGGCCATGGGATATAAGTAAATAGATATAAAGGTTAAATAAGGGGAAATAAAATTGAAGAGGGCTGTTTGTTTTCTGAAACTAAAATCTGATTATTGCAATATGTTAGCACACATCAGATATAATTGAGTGCCACATCAGGCTGAAGGTGAAGGATAATTTGAGGTTTGGGGTGTCTCTCAGAATTGGAATGGTGGTATTACTCTTGTTACCATCAGAGCACATCACTGAGAATTAATAATAATGTATTGATGATCATATAATGCACACTGTGGACTGCTATTTGAAAATACACATTATATCCAAAGCCTTCCTGAAAACCTCATACAGCATAGACTCAGGATCTATCAGGCTGTTATTTAGTCAGATGCTTGTACATATACCATCTCTCCTGTTATGTTACAGCTACAGGTCCTTCTAACACCATTTCATAAGACTGAGGACACACTGGTGGTGTTGCTCAGGTAAGTCAGATTGAGGAAACCAGGTAGGCAAGTGCTTGAAAGCTAGCATTTTGCCTTATACAACTACGCTTGCTGATAATCTAGTTTTGCTTTGAAAAAACAGAATAAACCACTGCAGAAATTATTTACATCAGCCCTTGTGTAACCTCTAAGAATGCCTTAACAAAAATTAGAACTCCTTTCTTTTTTTTTTTCAATGGTGTGCTGATTTGATGATCTCTGCAACTCAGGAAATTAATTTTTAAATTATACTAATTTGAGTATAAATAGTAAGCTGTCAACTTCTTGGCCTTTTTAGAATGAATATTTTTTTATACATACCTGCTATATGTAATGCTTATAGTCTGAACTATCACGTGGTTGTCGGGAAGCTTCCTCTAGCAAACAAGCAGAAGTGATTCTAGCAAAACAACTGACTAAAGTTAAAACTGGTGTGAATTATAAGATTCTTGGAGTGCTTATTACTATTACTTTCATAGGCCTCTTCATCTGTCTGAAGATCTCAGCAGCCCCCTGACCTCCAATCTGGAACTGGGGAACCATTCTGCTTCCTGGCCTATCGCAAGGTGGCCTATGCAGATCCTCTTCAAAGAGAGATTTTGGCCTTCCTGCTGCCTTGATGGTCTGTAAGGAGACTTACAGGCACAGAAATGACAGGATTGAGGTAGCCTTCGGGCAGAGACCTTGGAAAACACTGCTTGCATGGACTCTAGAGTGCATTCCAAATGTAAACTCCAATAATTGTTTTAAAGGGATCATGAGCCCCAAATCTCAAGAAGGGAGATGGGCACAAGGACGCAGCAGCGCGTCTTTTCTAAGCCTCAGCATCAACCTGCCACAAGGAGTGCACCAGCCCTATCATAACTGCCCGGCACCGCACTGTCTGTGGTCCCTGAGCCAGCGGAAGCATGCATAAAAGCTCAGGACTGCAGCGTGGAGAGAGCCCTAGCTGCGGAGCCACATTCCCATCTCTCCGATGAGCCGCGGTGGCCAGGGTAAGGGACAAGTGGAGAACACCAGATACACGCCTCGGCCAGCAAAGGAAAGAGAAAACACAGGCAACAAGTGGGAAGAGCAGCCCCCACAGTAAGGACCACAGTAATGGGCTGAGACAGAAACAGAGGGGTGAAACGCAAGGAGACATCATGACGTCCGCTGCTGGATCTCCAACTTGCTCGCTTCCGCGCTTGCCCCGAGCGGCAGGAGGAGACCCCGCACCCCACCTGCTGGGCTGCTGGGCTGCGGAGCCCCTCGTCCCAACGGCGCCCCGGGGACCCACGCCACGCGCCCCGCCCCGCCGCACCACTCACTGCAGCATTCTTCCTCCGCACAGAGCTTGTGCTCTGAGAAGCGTCTACTCAGGCTCGAGTCTGGCTGGCCCGGAACCCGCCTGGGCGGCCCGAGCAGGAGTAGCCAGAAGAGCAGCCCAGGCGCCGCAGCCATGTTGTAGTCAACTCCAAAGCGCCGGTGACACGACGGAGACCTGGGCGGTGCTTGGGGCGTTGCTAGGGGAGGGGACAGGGACGGGGCAGGGCCAGGGGCGGTGCCCAGGCCCAGAGCCTATGACACAACAGAGGCCTGTGCTGGGGGCGGAGCTTGGAGCAGCGCTGGGGGCGGAGTCGGGAAGGCGGTGTTGAGGCTGAGTCAGGAGCGGAGTACAGGACGAGAGCCAGTGACAAGGAGGTCTGGGCACAGAGGGGACGGGGTCAGGGGCGGAACACACGGAGAGCGCCAGTAGGGCGCCAAGGGGCGGGGCCACTGCCACCCTGGAGAGGACTGCAACTGACACGTCAGCAGGATCCCACGTAGAGATGTCTTGGCGTTGGGGGCAGCGGGATTTGGACTTCAGTTCTTTTCCCTAAAGCTGCCTTCTCTGGTTGCTGCCTTTACAGCAGACGCTAGATCCTTTCTCTTGCCCAATCACCTGCTTTTGCTCGGTCCCTGCCTCCTCTGTCAACCCTCCTCGCCACTTGATTCGCCTCGCCTCACATTACTCTCTGTGTTCTTCAATCCCCTAACCCTGCATCATCCCAACAACCGGTTGGTCCTTTCAGGAACCTTCCTTTGGCTTTTCATTTTGGGTTCCTCCCAAACCAGCTCTCTGCCACATCTTCTTGGTTAGTATCAAACCCCACCCATGATTTGTCATTGTTAGCTGCTGACTCCAAGCTCCTTCTCCCCTCCCTTTACCCCCATTCGCTCGAATTTGGAAAAGGTGAAAGAATATTGCATACAGATGTAAATTAGAATTGAGGTTTGCTTGGTCCTTATCTGAACACTGGGGTAAAGGACTCAGAACTACCTACCCTCTGGGGGAGGGGTGAAGGAAATTGGAATAATCTGTTCTGGAAAACAATATATTCGAATTTTGTAAATAAACTATTATAATAATAATTCCTTTAAAATACCTACCTTCACTCCTCATGCTCAATAGTTACTTAGTTTGTTGTTAATGTAGCAAGTCGGAATCTTTCATAGTTGACTTACAGCCAAATCTATTGCCCATCTTTCCTGCATCCTGGTGGATTCAAACTCTTTGCCTTTGAGTTTGCAGCGCAATTCTTTAGCTACTAGGTACAGAGGTTTCAAAAGAGAAATATTCTGGCTCCTCTAAAGAAACCCACAAGATAGTCAAAACAACCAGTGTAAAAAAATGAGGCAACCAATCTTCTGTGACAAAGTAGGGAAAAGCACCTGATCTAAACCATGGTCTTTTCAGTTGCTTCCTAAGCATCTGAAAGTTGAACAATAATTTAAAAAGACAAAAGAGTTGATGCCTTTGAATTGTAGTGTTGGAAGACGGTATTGAATCTCCCATGGACTCACAAAAGAATAAGTAAATCTGTCTTGGAAGTGCAACTGAAATACTCTTTAGAGGCAAACAAGGTGAAATTTTGTTTCGCTTACTTTGGGCATATTCTCAGGAGAAAGGAATCCTTGGGAAGAGACATCATGCTTGGAAAGGTAGAGAAGGTTAGAGAAAGAAAGGAAGGTTCTCAACAGTGGCTACCACAATGGACTTGAGCATGACACAGACTGAAAATGAAGCAGGATAGGCCAAAGCTCAGATCAAGGCACCTCACAACAACAGTTGTTTGAGCCACGTGCTCAAAGCATACAAGATGAAGTTTCATCATCCAGGAACACCCTGGCTTCACATTCTCCAAGACATACTGGTTTGGTTTTTTTTTTTTTGGATCCATGGGATATTTAGGACTCTCTTCTAATACCACATCTCAAAGGCATACATTCTTCTTGTGTCAACCTTATTTATTGTCTGACTTTCAGATGCAAAGGAAGTGATTGGAAAGACCATAACAGGAATCAAGCACACGTTAGTTTTTAAATTGGCATCCTTGATCCTCAGCACCTTGAAAAAATCCTTGACAGCAGATTTCCCCAGTGCAACATGTATTTTTATTTTTTTACTACAATTGTCCATCCATCAGGATGGATAGCGAAGAGATTGAGATTGTTCACAGCTTCAGTTTGCTCGGCTCCATGGTCAACACTCTTGGCACCAGCAGCCAGGAAACGAAATCAAAAGACGTATTGTGATGGGAAAGTCTGCTGTTAGGGACCTCTCTAAAGTACTCAAGAGCAATGGTGTCTCTCTGGAGACTAAGGTGTGCTTGCTACAGGCCATGGTCTTTGCAATCACTTGTTATGCCTCAGAGAGTTGGACTTGGACAATGACTAGGGAGGACAGAAGGAAAATTGATGCCTTTGAGCTGTGGTGCTGGAGAAGAGTATTGAATGTACCATGGGCTGCCAAGAAAAGAAACAGATTCATCCTGGAGAGGGTTAAACCAAGCTACTCCTTAGAGGCAAGGATTCTGGGGCTTCATCTGACATACTTTGGGCATGCTACAAGGAGGGACAGGACCTTGGAGAGGGACATCATGATTGGAAGGGTGGAGGGACGGCGCAAGAGGGGAAGACCCTTTAGGAGATGGATTGATTCAGTGACTGGGGTGATCGGGATGGGTGTGTCAGAGGCAGTGTGATTGTCCCAGGATACAGCAGGGTTTAGGGCTGTTGTACATAGGGTCGCTATGAGTCGCAAATAACTCAACGGCACATAACAACAACAACGTCAAGAATGTTGTTTGTGGATCCCAGTAAGATAAAATCATACTGCCAATAAGCTTTATACCTGTGAAAAGTTGAATTGGCAAAAGTTGTGTAATAGAAATATTTACAACAATGATGAAAAAAGCTGGTGAGGCTGCTTTTATCCAACCAAACTCAAGTGTGATCCATGCCATCATTTGTGTTTCTTATAAAAGATATTTGCAATAAATAAATCCTTGATGGTACAAAATTCTATCATTCTATCATTTCTGTTACCAGGACCATGTTTTCCAACTATCCTTCTTCCTTGTTTACAGCTTTTGTATTCCAGTCACCCATTATTATTAATATATCTTGGCTGCATGTTCAATCAATTTCCAGTGGCAAAAGTTGGTAGAAATCTCTATTTCCTACTCTTTGTCTTTGGTTGTTGGTGCATATATTTGAATGATTGAGGTATTAACAGGTCTTCCTTATATGCATATGGAAATTATTCTGTTATGTCACTCACAACATTGTATTTCAGGATGGGCCTAGAAAGTCATTTTTACTATTAATGTGACCCCGTTTTTCCTCACCTTTCCATTTCCAGCTTAGTAGATCATATGATTATTTAATTCAAAGTGTCCCAAGTCAATTCAGCTTAATTCTCCAATGCCTGGTATGTCAATATTTAGGTGTCTCATCTCTTCCTTAACAATGTACAGTTTTCTTACATTTATACATCTCACATTCCAATCACTAATGTCTGCTTGCAATTTTTCCTCCTCCTTTGTGTTTCCCAATGCGAGGCCTCAGTCTCCAGGGCCATATCTACTAGTCCTATCTAAGTGTGCTCTAGCTGCCCTGGACATGCTTACAAAGTTGTGCCACGAAATCTGGAGTACAGCAACCTGGCCAGCTGATGGAAGAGTTCCATATTTATTCCCATTCCAAAAAAAAAAAAAGATGACTTGATAGAATGTGGAAATTATTGAACCAAATCACACATATAACACACAAGCAGAATCTTGCTAAAGATTAACCAAAACAAATGAAACAGTACATCAATAGAGAACTGCCAGAAGTAGAGGTTGGGTTTACAAGAGGCTGTGACCCTGAGGACATCATTGCCAATGTCAGATGGATCTTGGTTGAAAGCAGAGAATACCAGAGGAATGTCTGTCTGTATGTCATTTGACTATGTGAATTACAACGAATTATGGCTGGCCTTGAGAAGAACGGGAATAAACAAAACAAAACAAAACTGGTTGTGCTCATGTGAAACCTCTGCTTGGATGAAGAGAACGAGAAACAGTGCATGGTTCAAAAAGGAGTGGGTCAGGAATACATCCTGTTTTCATACCTTTTCAATCTATACACAGAAAAGATCATTTAGAAAGCTGGTGTTTATGAGGAGGAATGTGGCATCAGAATTGGAGGAAGACTCATCAGCAACTTACGCTATGCAGATAACACAACCTTGCTTGCTGAAATTGAGGAGGACCTGAAGCATCTTCTGCAGAAAGTCAAGGGCTTCAGTCACTAATATGGATTGAAGCTGAACATCAAGAAAACAAGATTCCCACTACTGGACCAATTGGCAGCACCATGATAGATGGAGAAGAGATTGAGATTGTCAACAATTTCAACTTGCTTGCTTTACAATCAACCCTCTTGGCACGAGTAGTCAGGAAATCAAAGATGAATTGCATTGGGAAAGTCTGCTGTCAGGTACCTTTCCAGAGTGCTGATGTGAAAAGATCTCAGTCTAGAGACTAAATTGCACCTGATTCAGGTCATAGTCTTAGCAATTATTTCCAGTGCATCAGAGAGCTAGATAATGACTAAGGATGGCAGAAGAAAAATTGATGCCTTTGAGTTGTGGTGCTGGAGAAGAGTATAACATACCATGGACTTCCAAGAGGAGAAACAGCTCTGTTCTGGAGAAAAGTGAAACCAAGTTGCTCCTTGGAAACAAGGATTTTGAAGCTCCATCTCACATAATTTGGGCATGTTGTCAGGAGGGACCAGTCCTTGGAGAAGAACAGTATGCTTGGAAGTGTGATTGGATAACACAGGAGAGGAAGACCCTGGATAAGATGTATTGACAGAGTGATTGGGGTACTAGAAGCTGGTGTGTTGGACACAGTGAGACTGGTTCAGGATAGGACAGAGTTCAGAGCTATTGAGCATAAGGTCTGAGTTGTAGGAGACTCAATGAAAACTAGCAACAACAACAACATGCTCTCTTGCTCTATTTGCACAACAGCCTCCTGGTCTAGGTATAGGATCCACATGAGAGCAATTAAGTGCTCTGGGATTCTCATTTTCTCAATGTTAGCCATAAATTACTATGATCCATTCAGTGAAATGCCTTTGCATACAAA